AATAAATATGTGCTTGAAGCAGGATCAGCTGAGCAAATATAAAGAATAAGAGTCAGTAACAATGTTTCCTTTAAGAGAATTGAGCCAAAGATTACAAATGACATGAAACATTGAAATATATTTATTTTTCAGTAGAGAATGATGCCAGAATTTGATTGCTTCTGGCTTGAGGCAGTCCCAAGACTTCAACTTAGTATGATTCTTTCCTGGTATTGATTGCATCCTAGATAAACAGCAGACATTTAGATGAGGGGAAAATTATTGTTCAAGAACTTAAGGAATTGTTTCATCAATTGCCATCTCTGGAATTTCTAAAAGTAGGTTGTGACTAATAATTCAAGCTGCTTCTCTATCTTCCAAGTTCAGCCCCCCCACCACATAGCAGCAGACTGGGACCCGAGGCAAAATGAACAAATTTATAACCAAGTTAAAGTCGATTCACTTTATTGAAAACTGTTCATTCCTAAAGATGGCAGAACAAAGAAAGCAGGTTTGAACCTTTTGATAATTCACAAACATCTCAATCCCAGATAACTTGCAATTGTTCTAAATGTAAAAAGCACTTTCAGGAATTTATCTCTTATCCTTTTGGGCTCTGTAATTTGGTGGACCGAGGACAATAAAGCCAGAACTGAATTGCCTGTGGAAATTTGAAATTTCTGTTTCTTATATCAAACTTTTACTGCATTTCATTTTGAGAAGAATGTCCAAGACAGAATTATTAAGACAAACCCAAATTCCATGATTCATGACAAACACAAGTTTTATATAGTTGGGGAATTGTTCCAGTCATGTTTTTTTTTTTTTAAGTGAAATGCTATCTTTGCAATGTGTTATATATTCCCAGACAAAAGATAAACACTTTTGGCTTAAAAACAGGATTCCATTTAAAAGATAACGTTATTATAAATATAAAAGTAAAAAAAAAAAAGAAGTTCAAATTTCCTCCTCATGATCACAAAGGCTTAGTATCTCTGCATATAATGACTAATTCCCTGAACTGACAGTTGATTAAAAACACTTAATTACATATATGTTTAAATTCTTCTTCCCTTATTATGTTCCTTGAATTCAATGGACCACACTCAGAACCAATACATTATTGTGATATGTGCCTTATGAGGTCAAACATGCTGTTGAATAGATTGCAATGCAATAAATATACAAGTTAAATACATTAATAATAAATGATAAAGTAAGCTTTTAAATCAATGAATGACATAAATTGTTTAAATAGAAAAATTTGTAATACTTGGCAAGAATTGATTCCAAGTCTCCTTTATAACTACTTTTGAAATAAGAAAAATGTTTTTATTTTAATTTCAGTTTTAAGACACAATTTAACCATGTCACTGACCATCTGACAATGAGACAAGCTACTTTTGCCAACCATTATTGCTGTGTAGTGAGTTCAATCATCATTGAGAGCAGCCAATGCTTGTGGTCTTGTGCCAAAGTACTAAACAACCAGATGACTCTAAGATAAATCAAGCTTTCAAGACTAAAACCTATGAAGGTTTTAATTTACAAATTGACAATAGCAATTTTTTTTAATTGGTTTTTCATATCAGTGACAGAAAATGTAATTTAGACTTATTTTATCATCTCCATAATCAACTAAGATGGATTCTTTCTCAGTGTTGACTGAAAACTTTTACTAATAATCTAGATATTAACATTCCACACCAATTCAAGTAAAAGTTCAGAAAGGAAACCCCTTGTGAATACTGGAAAGACTGGTAACAGCTAATGGACTCAAGAAAACTGTTTTCCTAAAAAATATTTTTAAGCAAAAGATCTTATAAATTTCAACCAAAATCAGTACTGGCTGCTTGAACAAAGAATGCCAAATGTTTCCTTGTAGGGAAACAACAAATATTACCAATAGTGACAACAGTGGATCAATTTGTGTTTTCTTGCTGTAGAGAACTTTGTTAAGAAAAAAAAACAACAAAAAACAAACCAGTGACTGAAGTAAGGCTCTGTTGAACAGTACAGAAATGGTCCAATTTCAATAAATAATCCAGTTACAATTTCATGTTTTTCTTATGTGCTAAATCTTTTCAGGACATAGATGATCATGGCTCTTTTTCATTCAAAGTAAATTTTAACCCTTTACCATCCCACTATATCTCTTGTTGTTTTGCCATCCATTCACACAAACTTGGTGATTTGCTGTTTTCCTCAACTTTTCTTCACACCTTCAGAATGACTTCTGAGTGTTAGATTCTCTAAGTCCTCATTTCTTATTATGTGTCCTAGATACTTATATTTTTTAACCCTTTGAACCCTGCATTCCTGAACAATTTTAACTCTTCTTCCTGAGCTCCTGAGTCAAAATTCGTAAATAATTGGTATGTAATATTTCACAGTAGATATGAAAATAGTTTCAAGTGTTTACCCATTATTCAACTGGTAACTGGACATTAAGTAATTTTTCTCTATCACTGATCAACCGGCGGCTGGGCATTACGTCATTTTTCTATACCACTGGTAAAGCAGTGGTCAAGACTCAAAGGGTTAAGGGTCAAGAGGACCTGTCTAGATGAAACCTTTGTAATGGATCCTATTCAAATTAAGATGTCAGGATGCTAATGTATATATTTTCATTGTTCCAGATGTTCTATAGCTTTTTAGTAAGACACTTTTGTTTCTAAACTTACTAAAAGACTTTTGGGAGAATTAACAATCCACACTATCTGATATTCTTATTTCATATGGAACATGATCCTAACTTTTGTATGGGAGTGACTTTTCTTAGATTTTTTTCAAATATTATACAAATATACAGGTTACATTCAGGTTTTCAAATCTCCAAATTTAATGACCTTTGCTTCTTGATTATTTCTAGTTTTTTTGCTGCTTCTAAAATTTAAAACGTAAATCCCCCAAAAGTCTAAGTTAAAATAGGATTTTGTTTAAATGAAGCAAACAATTTTCACATCAAAGAAATTACCAAGTGGAAAATGTCAGAGATATAGATATTTTCATATGTGTATCTTCCAAGTTCCCACTTTCCTGAAGTTTCCATATTTTCAAAGGTTCTTCATTTATTAATATCCCAAATTAATATCCTACCTTTACCAAGCTTCCAAATTTTCCAACTTCAGCCATGATAAAGCTTCCAACTTTTTGACAAAATTTGATCAAGAACAGCCTCCTGTCATACTAGAGTTAAGTACATTAGATTTTGGATGACATTGTTTATACTGGTAAATACAGACATAATAATGTTTAGTGGATGACATATAAGAGAGATATCATAGTATTTAATAAAACAATAATTTGCTTTATTGATGACCAACATGATGAATGTTTTACAAGAGTATTTCTTGCTACAATGCAACTCAATCTGACTACCAAATCATACCACCAGAAAACTGCAACATTGGTTCAAATAACGCCATTTTTATTAGTTGGACCCTCTCCATTTTCAGGAAAAAGTAGGCATCTTCCAAACTAACAAATGCAGCATCCATATTGAAAAGCATGTTTATTTGCAGCTTCTTGACAACTTAATGGCATTTTAGAGGATCCTGCTATTGTTTATCAGAAGATCAAGCAAATAAAAGATGCATTTAAAGTGGAAGTAAATCGGAATTCAAAGAATAAATAGTTCTATAAAAAGAAAGACAAGCAAGAAGTATTTAGAAAGCAAATCTGTCAATCAATGACAAATTCATTGCCCAACTCCCCACCACCAGCCATAAATATGAAGAAAACAGTTTGTTTTTTTTATTTATCTGCATTATATGGAATTTAACTATCTTCAGAGTAATTGGCTGGAGAGAATCAGAAAAGAAATTTGGATAAGGAATCTTTAAATATATCAACTTTTCTTTCTATTTCTTTTTTATGCAACTTAAAAAAATTTAATGAGACTTGTTCCTTCATGTGTGAAAAATAAAGTTGTTATTGTAAAATGTCTGAGTGATATCAACAAGGCAGCCTAATGAATAAAATAAAATGAAAAAGTCAAAAAGATTACCAAAGAGGCAGGGGGTGGAGGAAGCATCCCTAAGTTGAATGTGGAAGGAAAAAAGCAAATATTGTAAATTAGTCAACAGGAAATGACATTTAACCCCCTTATATTAGCCACACATGATATGAAGCATCTCTTCTACTTTTGATGAAAAAAAAATGGTGCCAGGTTTCAAAGTGAGGCTCTTTTATTGGGACACTCTAAGAATTCATTATGAAGTTAAAAGAAGACAGGGATCGGAGAGAATGAAAATGAATAAAAATATAGATTAAATTAAAGATTCAGATTGAAATTAACTGAAGGTCACCTGGATTGACAGACACCTGAAGAAAGTCAAAGGTACAATGACTAAAATGCTTTGATATAACAACAAAGGTAAGGAAATTAGTTTGATTGTAAATCATAATAACTCCTTATCTTGGAAATTCAGACGGATGTTTTTTGCTTGATAATAATTTTTTTCTCAGAGATTATGAATTTTTATTTTTGTTACTTGCAGTTTCTATGCACTGAAATTCTTGTTAGGCTCTTGGAAGTTAGAAATAAGAAAATATTGGAAGAATGCAAACAAAAAGAAAGGTTCAAAAAGATTCTTTTTTTATTTCTGCTTGTTTTGCAAAGAAAGCAAAAACAATTCAATTATAGACACTCTTTAACAGATGAAGAGACTGTCAAAAAAGGAGACAAATTCTTTTAGTTTTTTAAGATTAAATAAAAACCTGGGACCAAAATGTCAATCGTCAACAAATACTCTTTTTGATTTTCATCTTTTTGGAATTGTTTTCTCCACAAAGAAACTAGTTTGATTCTACTATTCCTGGTTTCTCAAAGATTTCTTTGCAATGTTTATAAAACTTGGTCATATATGGAAGGACAGTAGAGAGAAAAATAATTTCTTTCTTATATTGCATTGACAGAGAGAAATTATTTGGAATGATTATTAGATCAAATAGCGTTGTAAAAACTATTCCTAAACACTAATCAAAAGCAAATATATGATTTTTTCAATGTTGAAATTTTAATGGAGAAAACAAAGGAAAGAGAGAGTATGAAAGAAAGAGATGAGAAGGAAAGTGAAAAAAGAGATGGAAAGAAAAAAGGAGAGAAGAAAAGAAAAGAGAGAATATGAAAGAAAGAGATGAGAAGGAAAGTGAAAAAAGAGATGGAAAGAAAAAGGAGAAGAAAAAAAAAAGAGAGAATATGAAAGAAAGAGATGAGAAGGAAAGTGAAAAAAGAGATGGAAAGAAAAAAGGAGAGAAGAAAAGAAAAGAGAGAATATGAAAGAAAGAGATGAGAAGGAAACTGAATAGAGAGATGGAAAGAAAAAAGGAGAGAAGAAAAGAAAAGAGAGAATATGAAAGAAAGAGATGAGAAGGAAAGTGAAAAAAGAGATGGAAAGAAAAAAGGAGAGAAGAAAAGAAAAGAGAGAATATGAAAGAAAGAGATGAGAAGGAAAGTGAATAGAGAGATGGAAAGAAAAAAGGAGAGAAGAAAAGAAAAGAGAGAATATGAAAGAAAGAGATGAGAAGAAAACTGAATAGAGAGATGGAAAGAAAAAAAAAAGAGAAGAAAAGAAAAGAGAGAATATGAAAGAAAGAGATGAGAAGGAAAGTGAAAAAAGAGATGGAAAGAAAAAAGGAGAGAAGAAAAGAAAAGAGAGAATATGAAAGAAAGAGATGAGAAGGAAAGTGAAAAAAGAGATGGAAAGAAAAAAGGAGAGAAGAAAAGAAAAGAGAGAATATGAAAGAAAGAGATGAGAAGGAAACTGAATAGAGTGATGGAAATAAAAAAAAGCTGACAAACAAAGAATAAAATACTGTATTGCTAATTGAGTTGATAGTATTTCTTTTTGTTAAAAACAAAACATTAGACTAAATACAATGCCCTGCTATCATGGTTGAATGATCAAACTCTAAAGATGGGATCCATCCAAGGTTTTGGATGTCATCCTTTGGATAAACTTATATCCTCTTAGTAGACCAAAAACATTTTTTAACAAAAATCAAATGAAAACAAACATGATATTTCAGCCAGATTTCATTTGCATTTATGGGAGGAAAATTATGTAAAACTGCTAAAAATCTTTTATTATGTTTCTAGGTGTTTCCTGTTTGTTTTGTTTGTTAAATGTTGGCAAAGTAACTGAGAAGAAAAGTCATTTGTTGCACATTCAAAGAAAGCCTCATGAAAATTTTGAATGTAATGCATTTGAACTTTGTACATTTTTCAAATGGAAATACAGTGTATACACAAAAATTACACAACTGAATCTATGACTAGACAGGAAAAGAGTCTTTTTACTGAGTTGATGAGATCAAACAACCAATTCTAGTTGGTCAAATCAGACTCCATTTCTTACAGATTTATCATGAATTCCATAATATTCCACCATACTTATTATCTTGGTCAAGAATAATGAAACATCAACTAGGCATAGAGAATTCTCCCACAGACAGCTTCTCTCCAATACAGATAAAGGGGAGAGAAAAAGCATTCCCTGATATCTGCATGGTGTGTCAATTCCTTTTGACAAGATCGACATTAAAGGTTTGACCTGGCATCATCTTCGATATCATGCACAGTGTAAGAACAAGCAGATTAAATAAATGACCTTGTGTCATGTCATTCATATACATGGAGTTATAAATACATAACTTTCATTCTGTTTCATTCTTTAATTATTATAACCTTTAGAAAGCCAAACTTTGTTTCTTCAAATTTTCATATAGAAATGTTGGTCAAGCATTTTATATGAAAATATCAGTAACCATACTTTCCTATACATAAGATCTCTCCAGAAAATACACAATTATTTAATATTAATGGAAATGTAGCCTACCTAATAATCAAAAAGTGTCTTCAAGAGCACCTAAGGTGCATATGAAAACACTTAGGAGGAAGAACCAGATTGACTACATAACGATGAATAGAAGATTCAGAAACACAGTTAAATATTGTAAAACATATCCTAGTGCTAACAATGGAAGTGGCAAGCTTCCATTTCATTAGAAAAATTATGGAAATTCAAGAAAACCAAATCAATACTGAAACAACAATATGACAAACTCTTGAATGACCCAACATGTATACTGAGATCTGAATGCAAATATAATAACTTGGATGAGACTAAGAATTCAAAGTGGAGCACATTAAGTGAAGCTCTTGTAACATCAGCATAGAAGATTATCCAAAGTAAACAAAAAGTAGAAATGCATAACATAAAATTCTTGAGATGATGAAAAAGAGGCAGTAAACAATGTCAAGGAATGGTACATAATATAGACCATAAAACAGAAATATTAGGAACAAATACAAGTAAGTAAAAGATGATGAATCAATGAAGAAGAATCAGTAATAGAAAGAATAAGCATCATAGATGCAGCAGACATCTATAATATAATAAAAGACATAACAGGACAAATGATTTACACATTGACAGGATGTATGAGAACAAAAGAGGAAATGCTCACAATGGAAAAAGAAAAAAAGACTTGTGGGACCAGCACATAAAATAAGAATAAATTGAACAAATGTTGGAGAACTCTTTCACTATAAAAGTGAGAAACCTACAAAGAAATAAAATAGAAGGATCTGAAATATGAAAGTCATCTGCACTGGTCAAAATAAATTGGAAGAAATGGGATTGTAACAGAAATGCTGTCACCAATTCACAGAAATGGTAGTGGTGACATACTGGAAGAACTTAATAGATTCATCTTCGGGGCACTGCCAAAGAAATCAGGTGCAAATGAATGTGAGTACCATTGGACAATCAGGTTAAGGAGCCACATAAATAAGCTTATCACTCAGATTCTGATGAATAGAGTTCATAGCAGAATTAAACTGGAAATAAGACAAGATCAGTGTGATGTTGTCAAAGACACTGGAACAAGAAATGCAATATCTATGATCAGAAAGATATAAAAGCAGAAGTATATATATATTTTGAAGACTATAAAAAAGTATTTTATAAGATAGGATACAAAGAACTATTTGAACAGTTATAGCAGTGTGGGACTTCAGGGTTAAAATGAACAATTGACTTACCCATGCCAAGAAGATAAATGGAGGATGATAATAATGAGGAAACATGCAAGTAATTTTAACAAAAAAAGATAAGGAATTTATTTACAAATTTACATGCTTGTGTCAGTAGCCTGTTTCAGGAAAATAAATCAGAAATTTTTGAAGTCTATAGTTTTAATGAATTCTTATGAAGAGGAATATTCATACAACAGATTAAATAATCTGACACAAAGTAATATTCAAAAATGTTTAAAACAAAAGTAAAAGAGTTTGTTGCTCACAGAAGGAATATATATGTTCAAAAGTAGATGAAGTGAGAGTTTGAAATACTTAGCTTTCTTGGATTGTTGTAGGAAAATTCTTTGAAGTGTCTTGTGTTTGGTTAAAAGCCAATAATATAATTGGGGAGTAATTTGACACTGGCAAGAACTTGAATGCTGGATGCTAAACAGAAATGAAACCTTTCACATAACTTTAGAAACTCTCATCTTGTTAATTTAATTTTTTTTTCTCCTCATTTTATATCTTTTAAAAAAGACTTCACACAGGCTAGCTATTTTCTTTTCTTTCTTTTTCTTGGCTCAATGACCAATCTCTGTGAAGTCAAGGTTTTCATTTGTCCAAAGAAAAGTTCACATAGTCCTTTTTCTTCAGCTTGCCCAAATTTGTAGAGGATAAGTAAAGGGAGTTATTATTTCATACTCTCTAGACAGCTTAGAAAAATTTATTTATTTGCAAAAGATATTAGAATATATTGTGAGCAAACTGACTGCATACAGATAGAAAGGAATTGAGTAAATACACAAAAATAGGAAAGAGGATAAGACAAGGATGCCTCTTCTCACCAAATTTATTTAATCTTTAATGTAAGGCAATCTGAAGAGAACTAAAAGTCCTAGTGATGTAATCTAGAGAGGGTTTCTGAATGAGGAATAACCAAAATGGAGGTTGGAAATGAAATGATAATCTTTATAACATCAACAAAATACAATACTCGCCAGCGGCGTGAAGTAGGTAAACCACTGCTAGTGGTGAACTACTTAGACAGCATATTACCCTCACTTACAATAGTGTCCAATGTATTTATGAGGATTGGGACATACCTATAATAGTGTTCATAGGTATGGTATATAACACCTACCGAGATTTATTATTAGTGGGTACAATCTTAAAAACTTAAGATATGCAGATGACACCATGTTGATGGCAGAGAGAGAAAGAAAAATGCAAGTACTTTTAGACAAGGTAGCAAAGGAAAGAACTGAAAAGTACAAAATGAATGGTTGTCAGCAAAAGAAAATGCCCCAAATGCAATCTACAAATTGTCAATGTCAAAATGAAGTAAGTACAAAAATTTAAATATCTGAGAAGTCTTTTAACAGATGATGGGGAAGGTGACACCAAAATCTGATAGTGAACTAGAACAGTGAATGATGCTTTACGAAACCTAAACAAAGAATGAAGAAACAAGAAAATTTCATCAGAAACAAAGAAAAGACTGCTGAAGTGCTATGTATTATCAATCCTCCTATATTGAAATAAATACTGGACAGTTTCCTTATAGATGAAGAAGAGATTTGAGGCAACAGGGGATGTGGTTCTACAGAAGGGTGCTGATAATGCTAATTATAGAGCATGTAAGCAATGAAGAAGTTTTAAGGAAAATGGAAACAAAGAAAAGAGTGATGAAGTGCTATGTATTATCAATCCTTGATATAGCCGTGAATGGTGGACAATTTCTTCACAGATGAATAAGAAACTTGAGGCAACAGAGATACAGTTTTATAGAAGGATGCTGAGAATACCATGGAGAGAGCATGTGACCAATGAAAATGCAAACAAAAAGGAAACATACTTTGAATTAGAAAAAGACAATTTCTAGAACACATAATATAGAAAGAGGGATTGAAGAACTGGGGACTCTCAGGAAATATTGAAAACAAGAGGACAGGAAGAAACAGCAAGTAATTGACATAACTGGCTTGTGTAAATGGATGCCTGATCAAGGAGTAGAAAGGATGGTAAAAAAAATAAATATTGCTAAGAGCTACAAAAGATTGGAAGTTGTGGGTTCAGCAAATAAACTAAGAATAGATTCTGTGTATAAAGTCCTGTTTCAGAATTGCCACCAGCTGTTTCATTACACTCTCCTCAATCTCGTTCATTATTTTTCAGTGGCAATTTTAATTTTGGAAAAAGTCAGAAGTCACAGGGATCCAAGCTTTGAGTAGAGGGGGTGTAGGTGATGTCATACTTTGCCACAAAGCTGTTCACAAAAGATGAATACTGTACTCACCCTGTCAATTTTGTCAACTAATAGTGCACAAACTCACTCAATGGTTTCTTACCAATGACTGAGTAACCCATTGTAGAACTAAACAACCCACTTCATAGCACTAACATGTAATGATTTACTTAGCTTCGATATGGCTCAAGGGTAAAATTATGGAGCACCCATGAAGACTGATCTCATGAGTCAGTTGTAATTGATCTAGCTCGACAAGCTTGGTAACAATCACATCATGTCAAAGTAAATGTTTACCCAGTCTCCCTACTCTAGATGGGGTGTGAGACAAGGTCGAATTTATTGTGGGGAACCTGAGCACGTATACTCGTGCCAATGACAAATTATTCCCCAAGCTCCCACAACCATCTGTTGCACTCTTGCAAGCAGCAATCCCTCTCTCTCAACATGAGGGGGTGTATCTTTGGGCAGCTGTTCTGTAGGGCCTCTCACAGTGTGATTTTCCTTCCGCTGCTACCCTATCTTCCGACAGAGCACACAACTGAGTTGCACTCTTCCCAAAGATAGAGACACAACTGAGAGATGATAAGACATAAATAGCCAGCCTTACATTTTTTTTTTTTTATATATATATATATATATATATATATATATATATATATATATATATATATATATATATATATATATATATATATATATATATATATATATATATATACTAACAAAGGGTGTTTACAACATAAGCAGTAATATCTAATTTGCATAGCAATTTTTAAGACCATATTTTAATAAATATTTCATTTGTGTTACTTATTTTTAATTCAAAATTTACAATATTGTGATATGTAAATAATATTTCAGACATTTTTTTTAAATTCATCATCTTTGTATAGAATGAATTTATATCTGCTTTTAAAAATTTAGATTCTGACAAACCAAAGCTAGAAAAATGAAAAAGATATTTCCTGACAAGACATGGTAAGAATTCCACAATCATTGTTATCAGACGAGGAGTTGAGAAAGAACTTTGGCTTAATTGGGTGTGCTGAGAAGTTCTTGGTTCAACCAAACACACTTTGCAATAATATTTATTGAGACAGATTTAGACAGGAGTGAACTGGATTGAAAACCTTTTCAAACTGTTCTTTATAACATCCAGATAATAAGAAGCTACAGAAATGACAATTTGTGTTTAGACATATATAAAGTGTTTAGACATA